TCTTCCGAGGACAGTGAGTCACGCGATTCTCTTCTGGGGTAACGTGGTAGGAGTTCATCGAATCTCAGGCGCCTCACGGCAGCCTCCATGTCTAAGAGCCGCGTGGTCGGAACCCCTGGTATCCCTTGTGCTTCGTTCATTTCCTCAACACACGTACCCCAAAGGCCTAATGTAGGTCAGGCCATGTGACCAATGGCAGTGCTTTATTCCGAAGTCACGTTTCTCCATGGGAAGAAAACTGTGAACCACCCTGCCCTCAGGGAGCTTGCTGCCCTCTGGGAGAGATGGACCCTTACAGCCTGGCTAGGCTGACAGTCCACACGAGCGAGCGCCAGTTGTTGAAAAGGAGGTATCGGGTATGGGGATTGGAAAGCGCCCTGGGGAGCGATCCAGGAGCCTGTGTCTGCTGCCTCTGGCAGAGGGGAGAGACCTTGGATGTGGCCTTTGTTCTGGCCTTGGCTCCTGATTCCACAGAATGAGAGGTTCCAACTGAACCATGTCCACCCAGGCTGCCCCTCCGCATGTCCTATGCATGTCTTTATGCTGGCGCCTCTGCGGTGAGGGTCGGAAGAGCACAATACAGGCTGCCGAGGAGGAGAACGCACAGCCTCCGGGTCTTATGGCCTGAATCGAACACAGGACACCGTTGTCATCTCACGATCCTCAGAGGGTAGAAACCTGCCCTAGACAGCCACTTAGCTCTCTCTTTTCTCGGTAGCCGCCCCTGGCCCCTTGCAGGTGGCAATTGAAGCCCGCCTGGGTGTGGAGTGCTGATGGCCCTCCTGTTTGGGAGCCTCTCGGCCTGTGGCCGTCAAGCTGATTCCAGCTCATTGTGACCCACTTGTGCCAGCGTAGGGCTGGGCAGCCCAGGGTTCTTGATGACCGAATGCTTGGCAATACGTGACTGGGCCGTTCTTCCAAGGTGCCTCTGGGTGGGCCGAAGCCTCTGACCTTTCTGTTAGCAGCTGAGTGTGTGAGCCCCCACTCCATTCAGGGACTCCTTTGTGAACCACAGCACCCCCGTATTTCATGTGACTTCCCAAGTGGCATAGTGGTTATGCGTTGGGCTGCTTGCTGCAAGGTCAGCAGTCTGAAACCACCGGGAGAAGGGGAAGCTTTCGACTCCTGTAAACAGTTACAGCCTCAGACACGCACAGGGCAGTGCCCCCCTGCAGGGCAGCTGCAGTCGGCATCGAGTCACCGCCAGGGCTTTATTCCCCAGTGACTTTTCACAGAGCCCCGATCTGCCTAGCTCCCGCCC